TATAGCGATGCAAAATAATCTTGTCCTATTTTTTATTATTATTTTAATATTAAATATAATTATATATCACAAGTGAAGGTAAAAAAATTTATATTATGAGTTGTACAATATTTCATAAAAACTTCAATAAGTTTCAATATTTTTGGTTGTAAAGCCAACTTTATACCTAAAGGTATGTGGCTAGAGATTTCCAACAGCACACTAGCTAACTTTTCCATGTGTCCTTAACACTAATTTTAACCTTGGCATATTTTACATTATGAGCTGTTCAAATCACCTCTTAATCCTTCGCAAAAAAAAATTTCCCACAAAAACTTGTGTCAACAAGTGCCCACACTTGCAATAGTGTGGGTCCGCTAATGGTCATAGATATATGAAAAGAGAAAATTCTAGGGAAAAGTTTAAGAAAAAAATAATTGTCCTTTTAAATGACACAACTTATATCATTTCACTCTCACAAAAAGATGGAACTCACACCTTTATATTTTTCTGTCCACTCTCTCTCCTCCTTTATCTATCTCTTTCTCTCACTTAAAATAACATAATTTTACATCCTTTAAAAGGATACACATTTTTCCCAAAGTTTAAAAGTCTTTTGTGGTTTTGTTTTGAATCACTTATTCTTTTATATTTTTTTAATTACTTATAACTTATCTCCTATAATTTTTTCTATCTAAAGTCATTCTTAACACGTCTAGAAGCTTAACTAATCTGTTTATTTTAACTTTCTTTAAATAATAAAATAGACTGATGATAAAAAAAAATCAAATATGTTAAAAACTTACAACTTACAGAAAAAATTAAAAAATAAAAAGAAATAAATATAGAATAAAAAAATCCAAATATATCTAAATTAAAAAGAAGAAAATTCCACACCAAAAAAATAAAAATAAAAATAAAATTGACTTAGAACAAAATAAAGATAAGATCAAATATATTAGATTATATTAAACCAAAAAATAAAAAGTAAAATAAAATAGTATATATCAAAAAGAAGAAAATAGACTGAAGATAAAAATGAAATAGAAGAAAAAAAATTATTGTTGTAAGTTCCAAATATTTTATGTCTTTATTTTTCTTCTAATCTTTATTTTTATTTTTTGTTCTCAATCTATTTTCTTCTTCTTGATTTTAATATATTTGGTCTTTTTTTTTTTACTTTTAGTCTTTTTTATCATTGTTAAGAGAAATAGAAGAAAAAATAAGAAAAAAAAGATATAGAAGAAAAAGAAATCAGTGTTATGAGTTTCCATCATATTTGGTCTTATTTTTTCTATTTTTTTATTTTTTTATCCTCAATCTATTTTTTATTTATTTATACATATGTGGGCTTATTTTTTCTTTTATTTTTTTTCAGTTTTTTTTCTTCTTTTTTATTTAGACTATTTCCATTTTTTCAACTTTTAGTCTTTTCCATTATTGTTGTAACTTTTCAAAATATTTGATCTTATTTTTTTCTTACTTTTAATTTTTTATATAAATGTTATAAGTTTCTAACATATTTTATCTTATTTTTTCTTTATTTTGTCATCAGTCTATTTTTTTCTTCTATAAAGGATAAAATGGACAAATTAATTAAGTTTCTAATGATATTAAGAATGAACTTAGGTGGAAGAAATTATAGGGGATAAATGATTAAAATAATATAGGGAAATAAGGTATTCATAATTTCATAGCAAACCATAGATGATTTATAAACTTTTTTCCAAAGAGGAAACCTTCATGCGTACAAGATAAGTATGTAAACAAAATGAAGGGGTATATATATCAATCTCGGACTCAAGTAAAAGATACTTTAATGCCTACCGTAGATAGCTGGGTTCCTTAAGTATACTGGCAGGGGTTTGATCCCTGACTGTGTGTATGAAAAAAGTTTTATTAGAAAATATTTATTTACTTAATCTGATCTCTCGTCTCGAAAGAATTAATCTTTTACTGTAGGCTAAAAGTTTTATTTACTTTATTGAAGTTTATTAACACCGCTTCATATACAGGTACCGTTGAAATGATTCAAATTTGTTACTCTAACAAATTACTTAAGATGATAATACTTTCTATATAGTCACTAGCTACTCAGACATAGTCGTGTTTTTGTCAGTGCAGGGTTACTAGACAAGACTCTATATTGTCATGTGCAATTGTATGTGTTCAATTCTCTCATTCAATTGATAGTTACGCTCTGTCATCATCCCTTTAGGTAGACACTCTCACGCTTTAGGGACTAATTGAATAGCTTTGGTTTAGTGGAAAAAATAAAATAAAATAATTTTGAAGAAAATCCATGTACCTCTTTTGAGAAAAAAAAATTTATTAGATATTAACGTTGTAATGCCAATATGGTTTCTTTTTTTCTTTTTTTTTAATATTTTGGGTTATTAAGCCTTTGGGTTAACCTTTGCTCCAAACCAAAGTAGGATATAATCCTCAAGCTATTTCCCATTAATCCAGCCCAATACAAAAGCCGAAGTCCAAGGTACTTATTGGAATGAATTGCGTGCAAAGTTAATAAGCTTTTCCAAATTCTAAATTGGCTGGTTTTGAAATTTGAAGTGTACAATAGTTCATGGAACTTTTGGAAAAAGCTGAACTGGCTACAAGATTATAGACAAGGAGACAAGGAAAAATATGTGAGATTAATCGAACATTCAAATTTATCCTTCCAAACACCATAATCGATCTTCCACACTAGCTAGCAGCGAAATCTTTACTAAAATATTTGACAATAACTATTACACTATAATTTTTTTTCAACAATACTCTTACACAAATGGCAAGTGCTTCAGTTAATTTTCAAGTTCAATCTTTATGCCAGTATTATACCAAAGTCTCGTCCTAAAAGATAAGAAAACATGAATTACTAGGGATTTTGTTCATTCTCATAAGAAACCAAAACATTAGCTGAGATATAAGATAAGTTAGGTTAGAGTATATAAAGATATGGATTGATAGACCTTTGATCAGTATCATGAGGAAAGATTTATGTATTTTCAAATCTCAATGTTTATCTTGTACAAGTTTGGTTGTCCTTGGCGAAACACATATTATACTAAAAAAAAAAAAAAAAAACATGTTATATTTACAAATTTTTTTGTTTACAAACTCTTACAAATTACACTAAGTACGACCGGTCATACTCTAATCATGCAGTGTACGATCGGTCGTACTTAGTGTGATTTGCAAAAAAAAAAAAATTGTAAACGAATCCTATCCTTAAATAAAACTCTACCCTTTTTACCTTTTTTGTTGCAGCAATTTTGGTGATCCCAATTCGCAAAGCTAACTAGGCATTTTCTCAGACTTTGGTTTGCGTTTCAGATAAGTCGTGAGTAGGAGATAGAATTGCTACAGACAGCTAAAGTGGTCAATGGAAGGTTGAAAATTTAGATAGATTTTTCTCTTCTCTTTCCCCAAACTAAAATTATTTAGTAGGTACCAACCGAATTGCATAATAACCATCCAATGTTATAGTACATGAACCAATAATGGTTATGGAATTCGCTAGATTGTTATTCTACCAACCTGTACCGGCGTAGACAAGAAAGCCTCTCCTTCCACCCATTCTTTTTATTTAAGTTATATATGCTCAGGTTTTAGTAGCAAAGTGGTGAAAGAAAAAGGCACACAATAATTGATTTGGTTAAATATGAAGTAAGAATACACTAAAAAAATACAGTTATAATTTTTTATTTTAAAATCGATGGCTAGAATTATAATAAAATACACACATATGTACAATAAACTACGAGATTATTAAAATTCACTCCATTAATGAGTTATATCTCTCCACTTTTTTATTTAAAACATACACTTAATATTAAAATCTCACAACATTATCCCCGACTATGACAAAAGGATACCAAAAGACGAAGATAAATGGATGCTATGCCAAGCTTGGTGAGCTAAAAGTCTTGCTATAGCATAAAGCCATTTAGGCCCATTTTGTGGTAAAAGTTGCCAGAATGCTGTCTCTTGGTGTGATATGTACCTTGTTGTATGAATCTGTGTTGATATTCGTTTCGTGTTTATATTAACCAAAAGCGACCCCAAAAAAAATCATGTCATGATCCTATTGGCCCGTTTAAATTAAATAATTATTTTCGTATTTATTATCACTTACCCCACTTTTATTTATTAGATTATTCATGATGTGTCGTCCCGTGTAATAAACAAACTATATTTGTGTCGAAGATTTTGACACAAATAATTATGGGAAATTATTTTCTTATGTTACATAACATAACTAAAGTTTTCTACACATATATGTAGAGGAGAGATGAGATAGATTATAAAAGAGAGAAAATGTATAAATGGGTCTCAATTCTTTATTTGTGAGTGTAGGAAAGTGTTTTTATCTTATGTAATATAAGAAAATAATTTTCCAATAATTATTCATATCATATTAATATTGATGGTATTCATGTTTATGTTGACCAAAATATGATCTGTCAACCCGAATTTCCACCCTACTAAAAATGTCCAAAACTGAGATTCCATTATTCAAATATGAATGTTATACATTTTTTTGTGGGACAATATTGAAGTTAGTTACTATTAGTAAAAGACAAACTAAATATGTGGGACAACATTTTGTGGGAATCAACATTAACGTTTAGTTACTAGTTAGCCAAAAAGTTCAGCAAATGCAGTCGGAAATCCATTTTTTATGAAGCTTGTTTTATGCTCTGAATGTTACACTAAGCAAATGACAATGCTTAATTAGTCAGAAAAAAAGCAGTGAAACCAGTGGAAATCATGTCATTTTTCTGTAAGTTTGATTCATGCTCCGAGAAAGGAAACTTTACTATAAGCTTAACTGAGCATATTTCAGATATAAAAAAAACAAACTACACCTACAATGTCACTTCTCTGTAAGTTCGTTTCATGCTTTGAAGAGTGACAAACTTCACTACAAGCTTAACTGAGCATATTTCGGATATAAAAGAAATAAACTATACCTACAATGTTTAAAACATACACTGAGATTCAAGAGAAGATTGAGATTCCAATTCCCCTAAATGGTTGGAAGCATTTGATACTATTTGATACTATGCTTCATGTATTTACAACAGAAGGGGATTCGTCATATGGAATTCTAATGATTTGTTATGCAAGCCACGGGCCAATGGTCAAACCATAGTTGAACCAGCACATCTCCCATGATATTTGTGTCACTGTTCGATCTGTGACAACACATGAGACATCTTCCCACTATACTTTTAACAGGAAATGATCCCTGCTCATCAATGAGACAGGAACTATGTCAAAACTAAGCCTATCCAACCAACAATTGGACTGTCAATACGAGTTCATCTACTCAATTCTGGAAAACTTCTTGAGGTATTGAAGGAGGGAAGTACTTCTTCGCCACATATTTGTACTGGAACACAGATGAAGTAAAAGGAGAAAGTAAGCAAACTGATTACAAGGGAAAAACAAATATTAGCAATTATGTGTATACTTATAAAGGGGATGAGGGGATTGAGAGTCCTGTATGTACTTATGTGTATACTTATGTGTGTGTATGTATATATATATATATATAGGGGAGATTTATATTTACAAACTTTTTATTTACAAACTATTACAAACTACACTATGTACTTCCGGAAGTACACTAGGTTACACTGTGTACTTTCGGGAGTACACAAGGTTACACTGTGTACTTCCAGGAGTACACAATGTAATTTGTAAAAATTTATAAAAAAAGTTTGTAAACGATCATTTCCCTATATATATATATATATATATATATATATATATATATATATATATATATATATATATATATATGAGGCATCTTTCTTACCTTATGCTGACTGTATTTCTCTCGTACTGCAGGTAAATTAGAATTAGGACCGTTGCAACAAAGACTATGGAGATCCTTTACACATCCACACAAATCAGAAGGCCTGTAAAGGGTGTAATGCTGCAACGTGGAATTCTGTTGCAAAAAAACAGAAACAGTAAGCCATCCACCCATACATAAAAGATTTCCTTTACGCTGGTAAATATGGTAAAGAAAAATTTGTGGTTAGCAGCATACCCATGGTTTCTTTGAAGGAATAAGTATAAATTTGGCTAGGAAAACTGCAGAAGCAGCTATAAGTGATGGGGCATAACAAAGCATACTGTATTCCAAGAGAGATAATTCGGCAATGTAGTTAGTCAAGCACTCTAGTTGTAGTGAAGGGACCTGAGAAATGGACAGATAAAACCACCAAAAAAGGACCAATATCTTAGAAATGGAATCTATAACAATAACAATATTGAACAATAGTATTTTACTATTTTACTTGTGAGCAATACCAGTGTAAATAAACGCCGTACAAGAACAACAGGTGGAAGTAACAGGCTACAGCTATAAATGCTAGTCTAACGTTATTTGAACATTTCCCATGACAGAGAACATGCATATAATAAAAGAGCAGCCAGAGCGAGAAAGATACCTCATTGACATCTTGAGCTGCACGAATATATCGTCTGAAATCACATCATCAATAAAAGAAAAAGTGAATATTTTAGGACAATGTAACTTCAAAAAGGTTTAACTATCTATTAAAACATTCAGTTGCTGGGGTTGTTGTTTGGAACTCCAACAAAAAAATTTCAAATCATATCAAAAATATCGTCACTGGTAACTACCTATTACCTTAGGAAACATTTAATTGTTGGGGCTGTCATTTCGAACTTAAGATAATTCAAGACAGCAGATTCCATTTGCAAAACCTGCATCAAATGACTTGGCTGAGATAAGCTTAATTCAAGTAATAGGAAGAACCATCATGAAACTGCAAAAATCAGCCAAAGAATTTAATCCAAACCTCTTCTTTCAAGTAAGTGTTATCAGTTATATAACAAAATTCTTCCACCTGAGGTGCACAAATCTCCTCGTATTTACTGCCAATAAGAACCAAAAAACCAAATTATTGTTATTGCATGCCTATATAGTGGGGCAAAAAAGAAATAGAAATTCTATCAATCAGAAAACACGAGAGGGATAATATGCTTCCTTACGAGGCAATCATCATGCAGGCAACACCAAGTAATTGTAACCTTTGCCTATTCATAGCATTCCCCGACAGATACCGATCTATGTAGTTCACTGACAAATACAATGTATCAGGTACAAGCCGATACTCCTCAGACACCTGCAGTTCAAAAATTGAAGTTTAGCACACAAAAAGGCCAGTGACAATTAGCTCTAATTTGAGTTATGACGGTTACAAAAAATAATGTATTAGCCCAAACCTCCTCTTTTGCATTATAACAAGATCAATATATTTTTAACTTCACAAAATCACAAGTTTCAAGAGTCAAGACTCAAATGCACTAAATGATTTTTATTTTATTGTTTTTAATTTCCCAACCGGTTCATCCTTCGGACTACATCCAGTTCGAGCTCTTGTCGGATCCCATTAGGGGGAAGCTCTCCCAAATCCTTTTTTCCATTATTACTAGGGCTCGTGTTGAAGAGAAGTTTGTTATTTCATTTAAATGTTTGTTGGGATCTGATATCCTTTGATAACAATAGGAAAACTAGGAAGTTGTTAGTTTGTTGATAGTTTGTTAATATTCTAAAGTAGTTGTTTAGATATTTGTTTCCCTGTATATATACTCCTCAAGTTGAGGTTTCAATCAATGAAATATAGATTATCAGAAATTTGACATGGTATCACGAGCTTTGTTCTGATCCTACGAAAAAAATTTTCCAGTACCCACCCATTCCCACTCCGTTCCCGTAACCAATAATTTTTTTTCTTCTCTTTTCCTTTTTTCCGTACCCAATATTATCTGTCTTTTTTTCCCTACCCATATTTCTTTGACAAACCCGACCCATACCCATCTCACCACCCACTCTACACCCGTATCCTTCCCAATATTCTTTTTCCCCAATTCTGAACCCTACCCTTCTCCACCGCCATGGAATCCGAATATCTTGACAACCAAAATTCCGCAATCGATCCTCCTTTGACTACCGCTGTTCCACAACCACCAAACATCGTCATCCATCAAGATCATTCTTCTCTCCCTCTCACTGTTACCCTTGACGAAACAAACTACCCCCTATGGTCCCAACTCATGGATATGAGAATCGGCGCTCGCAACAAAACTGGTTTCCTTACCGGTGCTACACCCAAACCAAACCCTGGTGATCCTTCTCTTGATTCTTGGATCACCGACAACAAACACGTCAAGAGTTGGTTAATCGACTCCATGACCCCAAGCCTGATGCACAGGTTCATTCGACTGGAAACGGCATCTGAAATATGGGAAGCCACTTCGAAGACGTTCTATGATGGCTCTGATGAGTCATGCCTCTTCGACCTTAACCAGCGGTCGTTCACCACGAAGCAACTCGGACGTCCCCTTGCTGTCTACTACACCGAACTCTTGGCTATCTTCCAAGAAATTGATCACCGTACCTCTCCATCTGATTCGGTTGCTAATCTTGTTCATCAACAATCGACCCTGTCTCGATTGAGGGTTCACATCTTCCTTGCTGGTCTTGATTCTGAATTTGACCAGGTCCGAAGTGAAATTCTTCGTAAAGATCCGAAATTGGAACTGGAGGGCTCTTATGCGTATGTCAGGCGTGATTCTCAACAACGTCTTACCATGAGTCACACGAAGACCCCCTCTAGTACTTCTGCTCTTCTCACCCATCACCCACGCATCAGTTCCCCACACCCTCCTAGGTCTCGCCGTGACAGTGCTCCTCTCACCAGGCCTTCGTCATTTTTGTGCTCTCATTGTGGAGAGGTGGGTCATTCCAAGCAACGGTGTTACGAGTTGATTGGGTATCCAGATTGGTGGGACTTCACCAAACGTCCCCGTAAGAAGATTTCCCCAAAAGCAAGTCTTATTGTTGCTGTTGCTGATGCTGAATCCTCCACTCCTCAAGCCAATGTCGTCTAGAGCAGCATCTTGGGTAAGCCTATTGTCTTCACTGCACATTCAATGAATAATATCTGGATTATTGATACGGGTGCTTCTGACCATATGGTTCGGGACCCCTCTTTGTTGTCTAATTTCCAACCATGTTCTAAGCCATTTATTTCTACTGCTAATGGAGGTACCTCCTCCATCTCTGGACAAGGCCAGCTTTCCCTATCTCCTGCCTTACATCTTTCCTCTGTTTTGTGTATTCCCTCCCTGGAATTTAATCTCCTTTCTGTAAGCCGTCTAACATCTGACCTCATATGCTGTGTTATTTTTTTCCCCTCTTACTGCATCTTTCAGGACATCCGCCAACAGAAGACACTTGGTTATGGAGTTAAGATTGGTGATCTATACTACTTGGACCTCAAATGCACCATTCCTTCCTCTCGGACTTGCACCTCTGTTCGTGACTCCTCACTTTCCTCTCAAGCTTGGCTATGGCATCGTAGATTAGGACATTTATCTTTCAGTTATCTTAAAAAATTATTTCCCAAGTTTTTTACTTTTGTTCCAGTATCTCATTTTCAATGTACTACTTGTGAGTTAGCAAAAAGTCACAAAAGTTCTTATTCTCCAAGTATGAATAAAAGTTCAATTCCATTTCAAGTTGTCCATTCTGATATTTGGGGACCTGCGAAAATTCCCTCTTTGTCCCACAAACTTTATTATATTACCTTTATCGATGAATGTACTCGTATGACGTGGGTCACCCTTTTGTCTCATAAAAGTGGTGCCTTTTCTGCCTTCAAAAGTTTTTGCACCATGGTTCGTACACAATTTAACTCTTCTGTTAGTATCCTCCAATCTGATAATGGTTCCGAATACATCAATACCAGTTTCACCGACTACCTCACCATTAATGGGATTAAACATCAAACTTCATGCCCATACACACCACAGCAAAATGGCCTTGCTGAACGAAAAAATAGACACCTTCTTGAGGTTGTCCGTGCATCCCTATTTGGTATGTCTGTTCCTAGATATTTTTGGGGTGAAGCTGTAGTTTCTGCTGCCTATTTAATTAACCGCATCCCTTCTCGTTCCCTAAATTTTCTTACTCCACAACAGAAACTTGAATCTTTTTTCTCTATTCCCCACTGCTCCAACCTTGAACCCCGTGTGTTTGGATGTGTTGCTTATGTTCATGTACCTAAAGTTCTTCGAAATAAGTTAGATCCATGTGCAAAGAAATGTATTTTTGTTGGCTATTCCAATGAACAAAAAGGCTATAGATGTTATGATCCTTGTTTACGAAAAATTCATGTCACTTTAGATGTCTCCTTTAGAGAATCCGAAGCTTACTACTCAGGGGGAGATTTGCCTTCTTCTCCTCAGGAGGAGATTGCCTATGGAGGAGAAGTCTCAATTCATATTCCAGTAACTTCTCCAGCCCCCTCTCTCGGCCCAAGGCTCCAAGAAACAGAACCACAACATGAAACACAAGCAGCATCACCAATCTTAACACCTATGACTGAATCAACTTCTTTGGATGTCCCAAATGCTACACTTCTCATGGACAATGAGGTAAATTCTGATCCCATCTTATCTACAGTTAACTCTTGTAACCCCTCACAACCCACTTCAATCTTGAGGAGATCCGAAAGAGCTACAAAAGGCATTCCCAAACAAATGTATGAACCGAATCTTCATGCTTCCATTAAATACCCAATTGGAAATTATGTGTCAACAATAAAATTAACCGAATCATATGCATTAGCCACTAATCAATTGTCTAGCATATATATTCCTACAAATGTGCAGGATGCTATAGCAGAAAAAAATTGGAAAACAGCCATGGAAGTGGAGATGGCAGCACTACAAAAGAATTCCACTTGGGATATAGTTCCCTTACCTACCGGAAAACAAAGTATAGGCTGTAAGTGGGTATTCACCTTAAAACTCAAGTCAGATGGCAGCTTGGATAGGTATAAGGCAAGACTTGTGGCAAAAAGGTATACACAGAAGTTTGGAATCGATTATCAAGAAACATTTGCACCGATTGCCAAACTTAATACCATTCGAATCCTAATCTCCATAGCAGTCTCGAAGAATTGGTCATTAAAACAATTTGACGTGAAGAATGCCTTCCTAAATGGAGATTTGGAAGAGGAAGTCTACATGGATATCCCAACAGGTATGGATTACGGCCCTTTAGAAAAAAATGCAGTGTGTAAGTTGAAGAAAGCGTTGTATGGACTAAAACAGTCCCCAAGGGCATGGTTTGGCCGATTCACTCTTGCCATGAAAAAATTTGGATACAATGTAATTCTGACCATACTATGTTTGTAAAACAGCAAGACAGCAAGGTAACTGTCCTTATAGTATATGTTGACGACATTGTATTAACTGGTGATGATATAGAAGAGATGCAAGCTTTGGAAGTACAATTAGCAACCGAATTTGAGATGAAAGACTTGGGACAGTTGAAATATTTCCTAGGCATCGAAGTGGCTAGATCTGATCAAGGTATATGTCTATCTCAAAAGAAATATGTACTTGACTTGTTGAATGAAACTGGAATGTTAGCCTGTAAACCGATAGATACTCCAATTGAAATGAACCATACCCTTGCTATTTATCCTGGCCAAACACAAACTGATATTGGCAAGTATCAAAAATTGGTTGGAAAATTAATATACTTAGCACACACTAGACCTGATATCTCTTATGCAGTAAGTGTTGTGAGTAGGTTCATGCACTCTCCAAGTGAGGACCACATGAATGCAGTATACAGAATTCTCAGATACTTGAAGGGAACTCCTGGAAAAGGACTGCTTTTCTCAAAAAACAGAAATACATCTATTATGGGATATACTGATTCTGATTGGGCCGGAGATAAGACTACAAGACAGTCAACATCTGGATATTTTACCTTTGTAGGAGGCAACCTAGTCACTTGGAGGAGTAAAAAGCAAAAAGTAGTGGCAAGATCAAGTGCTGAAGCAGAATTCAGAGGAATGGCTCAAGGGATTTGTGAACTACTATGGATTAAAAGCGTCCTTCAAGATATCGGGATTAAACATGATGAACCAATGCAACTCTACTGTGACAACAAGGCAGCCATTGAAATAGCTCACAACCCGGTACAACATGATAGGACTAAACATGTGGAAGTAGATAGACATTTCATCAAAGAGAAATTGGACAAGAAGGTAATACAACTCCCATTCGTTCAATCAAGAGAACAAGTTGCAGATGTACTGACAAAAGCAATTTCCAGCAAAGCCTTTGGAGAAGCAATTAACAAGCTGGGCATGATAGACATTCATGCACCAACTTGAGGGGGAGTGTTGAAGAGAAGTTTGTTATTTCATTTAAATGTTTGTTGGGATCTGATATCCTTTGATAACAATAGGAAAACTAGGAAGTTGTTAGTTTGTTGATAGTTTGTTAATATTCTAAAGTAGTTGTTTAGATATTTGTTTCCCTGTATATATACTCCTCAAGTTGAGGTTTCAATCAATGAAATATAGATTATCAGAAATTTGACACCTCGTACTCGAGACCTCTAGTTAAAGGGCACACACTCCTTACCATTTGCACGAAATGTTTTTATCAACAAATATTACCTCCACAAGCCAGTCAATCAATATGGCGCGCATGCTGACATTTATGTCTTTCTGAATTCTCTCCATGAAGTCTGTGGAAGGCCTTTTCTTTGCCTAAGATTCCAGAAATTGAAAGAGAACACCCAAGATAAGAATACTTATAATAAAATAGGTATCATTTTGATGGCAAATATTAACAAGAAGATGTCATTATATTCCAACATAAATTATTATTTTAACAGCAAAAAATGAGGTTCAACCTCAGATGCACGGAGGTGCTTGTAGATGTCACAAGCATAGGTTGCACAAAGCTGCGGATCCGGGTAATTATTATCGATATTGGCAATTTTGCCCTCTCTTTTTAACTCAACAATTATGTCTCTCCTGCAGATGTTGCTGCCTGAAAACAAATCAACAACATTACATTAGAAGGCACTGAAAAATGAAATACTACACTTCACTTCCAAATCCCAATAAGAAAACAAGATATCATAACCCAAAATTTGATAGGCCAAATTAAAACCAAAATTGCAATAAAACTAAACCTGCTGGCTCTGTAGTATCAGAGATGTTCAAAATGCTGGATATCTTTCTCTGAATTGAATCAACAGCTGAAACATCAATATTGTCCAAGTATTCAACTTCAGGACTCTTGATAGAATCACAAGAAGATGACGTTGACATCCCATCAGACTTACTAGGAGAAACATCCACGATGCTCGGAACAACAGGCACAATGACATTGGCAACTGTTTTAGTAGCAGGAGCAGCAGCATCACTTCTTTTTCTTCGTGGGCAAGAAGAAGACTTTGGAAGAACAACAGCGCTTGTTTTAACATTTCCGCAAATTGTTGATCTTGCTATGCTGTTGCTGTTGCTGTTACATGGAGGAGGCTCTTTCTTTGCCTTGGCGGTTTTATTTGAACATGGCACCTTGCAATCACAAAAATTCAGCTAATTTAAAACCATATAAAATCTTACCAAAGTAAATAACAAAACTTAGCAACAAATTTAAATAGATAAACAAAAAAATGAAGGGATTAATACCAATGTAGAGGAAGGTCCCGAGTTGCGCGAAGCAACGTGAGTCACGCTCTTTTGATTAGAGAGATTGGTGAGAGGTGTTCTCTTCGTAGCCATGTGTGAAGGAGGAACAACTTTTCCCTTCACCGACGACGTCGTCGTCGTCTTCGACGCGTGTCGTTTTGCGAAGGACGACGTCGTGGAGGAAGAGAACGACGACGAACGACGATTGTGGGTCGACATTTGAAATCTTCGAATCAATTAAAATGGAAAACTCTGCTTCCAGCGTGCGTTTTGTGTTACAGAGAGATATAAAATAAAGTGAGGGTGGAAACACTCTACTCTAATCTCTGAGTGTGCAAATTTGATAAAATTTGCTTTATCATCGTATCTCTCAGCTGAGGAAATGGGTTGATTTTTGATTTGATTTGAAATGAGAGGACATATTAGTTAAGGACAGGGGAGCGCAAGTGTGGGTCCACAGTGGTTTCGACTTTTTCAAACTGATAAATTCTTGGAAAACAACACCCAAATAATATTTTTTTTTATCACAAATGGTATGTAATAAAACTACATGAAATATAATTTATTACAGAATGCAAATAAATTATTTGTATTTATTTATAAAAAAATATTATTTTAAATTAAAAAATTATAATTATAAATATTATAATAATCTTAAAATAACTTAAAATTATAAAAATATTATTATTTTCGCTTCAAAATAACATTATATTAGACTTACTTAAATAACTTATCTGCCGTAACCGCAGAAAAAACGAATTCTTATAATATATTCCTTCTATCAGATTTTGAATTTGATTTTTATGCATTAATAGTGTAATTACATTGTCATTCATTGAATGAGTTTAACATCACAAAATGTCAAATTCATTAAATAATATAATAGTATTTCATTGAATGACAGTATATAATGTCAAATTCACAAAGTTTTGTCCTGACATTGCATTTAAATTAGATTCTTTTGATACCCTCGTTTAATTTTGAAATTTTCCAAAATAATCTTCACGGTAATCATGTATCAGTGTATTACAATGGCAAGAACTTAAAAAAAGAAGTAAATGTGACAGCTAAAGTTAAAAGTCAATGGTAACAATTGACGCACATTACTGATATGACAATATATGTGTGAATAGATGTGAATTATCTTATCGAGCCTAATAATAATCTTTCCTTTTAAGAGTATGCATTGTGATGCCACCAAGGAGTCCACCGATGTATTCATCCGACTTCCACGGCTTTGGTGAATCCTATTGGTCTGTTACAGGATGGAAAGTGACGGTCAGTGAAGTGGTAGGTTTGAGTTTGAATTCGAATTCAAACGGTCACTAAATGGCACAGAATCCCAACCGCTGAGTCCCTCGTGGACATATTCCATTTTTCAATGGCTCTTAAAAAAATTCTAACTTAATTATGCTGAAGTTGCATAAACAACAGAGGGCTCCCCAAATTAAAATTTCTATTAAGGGGAATACACGTTCTTATTGAATCAAATTATGAAACGAGTAACGGTAATTTGCACATTGATTCATGGAAAATGTAATGCCACAAAATAGGGTGTATATATCAGTGAATTTGTCGCAAATTGTGCTGCTCAAAATTGATTCAATGGGGCGTTTGGTTGAGGAATTTTTTTTGGAATAGCAGAGAAATGTAATAGATAGAGAAATAATTGGAAAGTGAGATAAAGTGAAATAGGTAAAAAAATGTAAAAAAAAATTGTTTGGTGGGAAAAAAATTAAATGAGAAAATTAGGTAACTTTATGAAATCAACAGTGCATTAAAAGTGAGATAACCGGTTTTCCAAAAATCCCACCTTTAAATTGGGTTTCTAAACAGTACGGATATTTATGTTTCTCATAAACCCATACAAATTGCATAGATGAATTTTTGGTGAAAATATGTTGAAACAAACATGGTGTTTCTAAAAGCCATACTTGAGAAACATAGATATTTCTTGAAAAGCTCCAAATCAAACAACACCCTAATGTATTTTCAACAATCACCTTATTTTTTCTTATTTGCTGTGATTTTGGGATGCTGTCCAAGCTAATTTTATGCATAAATTTAGCTTAACCAAGTCTATTTGTTGTTCAATTTGGAGAGACAATAAGGGGTGTTTGGTATAGGAGAATTTTGTTTTTGTCCGAGAATCTTAATTTTTAAAAATATAATTTTTACATTCAATTTACGATAATATCTGAAAATTTAAAATTTAGAAAAATTCAGTTTCTCATGAATCCTGAAAAAACCCTCGTACCAAACGCCTTGTAAAGGTCAATATATCATAATCCTCTTTTAACTCGACAAAAAATAGACCGGTTGACTTATATTTATAAATAATTTAAAAATATTAATTCACTCTATTTACGACAGGTTAACTGACCAACCTTTCTAAATAAAAAAAAATATTAAAAACAATAGTTTATGCTAGATTTTAATATCCGCATATATGATTTATCAGCATGGTAATTCATACTCAGCAGAGCATATGTTGAATTTTTTGGTTTATCAGCATGGTAATTCCTAGTTGTTGTTGACATTTTCTTATTTTTCAATAAAAAAAAGGAGCATATGCACGACCTCTCTACTTTACTCGTTAGATTTCTTTATATATATTTCTTCAAAGGTAATTCATATTAATATGTTGAAGAAATATAACATTTGATGTTCAATTACACAAAGGGATTGCGCACAACTAGGATCTGTACATGTGAAGAGACATTTCTGTACTTATATTTTCGTATCAAGAATGCAAGAAATTCTCCTACAAACTTTGTCTACACCACCCCAAAAGCTAGCTCAAAGGGTAGGAGTGCCCAAGATCTTATAAACTCCATATTAGAGTGGACAATCCAACAAGTCCAGCCTACCTGTGCTAAGAAACGCCACAAGAGAAAGTGGGAGACGGCGGGGCTCTGATACCATGTAAAGAACCTTGGGATACACCAACCTAAAAGCTAGCTCAAGGGGTGGGAGTGCTCAAGGCCTTATAAAGGCCATATTAGTTACCCATCCAATCAATGTGGGACTATATATCTCAACAATCATGTCGACTAAATGATGGTATAGCTCAGTTGGCGTCAGGAAATTGAGCAGATGGAATGAAAATATATATTTGATCTTTTTTAGTACTGTGTGTGGGACGGATTTAAAGCTTTAATCCTGGAATTTGCCCCGAATCGGACTAGTCGCGAAGCAATAAATTGATTGTAATATCTCAAAAAAAAAAAAAATTATCATTGCTTAGCTTGTTGGCTAATTCCACGGACTTGGGGTATTTGGTAAAAGAGTTTTTTTTTTTTGCCGTGAAAAAAGATTTTGAGGAATATGGTGAGAAATTTTTTTCTGGGTAAGTTACGAAAATAAATGGTGGGCCAAGATTTTTCTGAGAAAGTTGAGTTAATTTTACTGATGCTATATGTGATTGATTGTAAAATTTGATCAGAATCTGAACCGAAATAACAACATTATCTATTTTTACATATTTGCTGATATATTGTGTAACGATATTTTTGTCTCAAAATGTGTTTCCCAATTGATGAAAAAAAATAATACCATGGATAAGATAAGATTATTTTTTTCTCATGTGTAATTAAAAACGGAAACAATGAAAAAAAAAGTATCATGAGATTTTTTTACTTTTTCTCGTGCCAAAAATGGTAAAAAAAAATTTCTCCACCCCACTTTATCAGCATTTCAACCAAAAAGACTTATACCAAACATCCCCTAACAAAAAACCAACTTCACCAGCTTCGAAGCCTATGAATTACTTGGTCCAAATGCAAAATGGGAATGAAGTGATACCTAAGTAAAATAATTTGATGAATGGTCTCCCTTTTGACGGCTTGAGCTTGCAACCTGACCATCTAGTCGATTGGAGAATTGATTGAACATCTCCTTGAATTTATCGGACCGTGGCTAAACTATACCTTCTAATTTTCCCACCAGTTCATCAATCTCTATGCTCTAATACTAGGCTCACACATACATTGGACTATTTTGGTAGAATTACTCTTTTCTTATTTTATGCAAATAACTGTTTCCTAAATATAAGTACAGCATGGTCCTTTGAACCTGCAATAATAGTTGTATTTGAGAGTTGGGACTCTTGGGACCTAAAAGAGACAAGCAATAGCTACCTACCATTGGAGAAAACTAAATCTTTCAAATTTAGGAAAAGCCACTTTCCCAAGAAATGTACAAAACCAATAGGTCCATCCATAATCTCAAAAGGCATTACAACGTTAAAATTTTCTGCATCTCAAAAGTAAACACAATAAGGCTCATCAGCCACATTATGTGTAACCTTGGCTTCCTAATAGAGCCGTAAAAAAAACCAAATTAAGCACCCACTCCTCAACTCAAAATGGACCCACCAACTATCACTAATTAATTAAATCCATGCTCATATAATAACTCTATATAAATACATCTTAGTAATACGAAATTATAGAGAAGAGAGAGAGACACACAAACAACACAAACACAAGTTACACGACACAATTAAACAAGTTCTTAGTTTGTGTTGTCAGTGTTGAAGTGTTGGTATTAAACTTGGAAACAATGGGTATGGATGATTCCTTCAAGAAGCCAGGTGTAGTTCCATTCAAGTGGGAGATCAAACCTGGAGTCCCCAAACAACAACAACAACAACATCATCAGCACAATGGTTCACCACTGTCATTGGAATTTCCATCACCGAAGCTGAGGCCGCCACCGTCAAGGTCCATGTCTTCGGTGGAGCCCTGGACCCGGTCCTTCAAGTCAACTCCTCCGGTTCGGTCCGACCGGTGGCAGTTGGACCGGCCCTTTCTTGCCCCGACCGATAGCGTGCCGTCGGGTTGTTTCTTCTCGCCTTTGCTAAGGCGATTATTGGGCTGGAAGATGGGCCGGAAGCCCACGGTTAAACCCAATAACGAATCGGACCTAGAGATAGTTTCATGGTGGTCCATGTCTTGTAGGAAGTCCCTTAACTCATCAATGTCGTCTTCTTCGACGTGGGTCGGGTTGGGACCACTTTTTTAAATGTTTGTTCAAGATTCTGAAAACTTAATCGGTGAAACGATATATTCAAGAATGTATATATAATATATGGGTTTTATTAGTGTTATGTTACATGATTTAAGTGTTGTTTCCAAAACACACACAAAAATGAAGAGAGAAAATAAAATGATAAAAGAGAAAGAAGAACATGTGGACCTCACCTCTTTAATGTGTGT